CTCTCTCTCTCTCTCTCTCTCTCTCTCTCTCTCTCTCTCTCTCGATATAAATTATTACGAATTATAGGACTTATGCGCGACGTATATTGCATCCAGTTCTATTTTTAACTTATACTGCGAGTTAGAGTTAACTATTTACAACCTTGAGAGATTAAGCTGTAATGTGCTGTAGATGTGTAATGTAGATGTGTATAGTAACAAGGAACTCTGGTTTATAAAAATCATTCTTCCGCTGTGCGCCTCGGGTTGGCTCTGAAGCAACATTTCCCGAATTCGAAGCGAATAAGAAACGAGAGCGCCTGTTCCAAGCTCTTGTGAAAAAGTGTATATACTTAATGTCACGTGAGCTATGGGGGCTCACATCTCAAAAATAAATTTTTATTCAAGACGTCTCTTATGCTATTTGCATAACGAAATATAGAAATATAAATTTTGGCTAAAAATCATTTTTGATAATGTTTATTAGTGAAAAGGATAAAAAAATTTTACCTTGAAAGTAGAACTTTTTTTCGAAAATATAAAAAAGTTCAAATTTTTTCGATAGAATGGAGATGAATATTTTGTGAAATTATCGTTATGAGTGTTATGTATTAAAAGCAATGTTCGAGAATAGTTACTTCAGGATTAAATTGTATGCCCGTGCGAAGGATAAAGAAACATACTCCTGGAAGGAATGAATATTTGATAAATGGCAGAAAGAACTTCGGGCGTGTTTAAGAAAAAGAAACACGGGTCTAGAGAAGCCATGATTTTCGATTACAAAACACTACGCGCCTATGTTAATTTATCTAATTGTTCGAGCTTAGCTTCTATTACGAACACCATCTCTTCCATACGCCGTCGCAAAGCGACGCGCGCAGCGAAGTTTCTCTGCATTGCTATCCACCATCAAGATCTGATTACGTTTGGTCCGCAATAAGAGAAGGACACAAAACACTTGTCGCTGCGCCAGCGAACGAACGAACGAACGAACGAACGAACGAACGAACGAACGAACGAACGAACGAACAAACGAGCGAACGAACACGCGCGAGCGAGCAAACAAACGAGCGAACGAGCGTGCGAGTGACTTGGTAACATCCTTACATATTTTGTCCAACGGCCTCGTCAGACCACTCGCGTATTGCCCTGAGTATTGTTTGTACATTAATATCGACAAGTCCTTCCGCGGATTTTATGACCAAAGAGGGCTTCAAGCAATTATATCTCGTTCCGCTGAATTTTTTTCGCTCAACGGTGCACCGACTAATCTCATCGATCCAACGGAACATCCTCGAAGTTCGTTACATTACCGAAGTGTTGGAAACCGTTCTTGAAGATCCGTCCTCGGCTGGTGCCCGCCTTCATCTGATCGAGCAGAGTTACGTTGTCCTCAAAGTCCTTCACCCATCTTGCGGTCTCGTGGCCCCAGTGAAATCGAATCGGTGCAGCGTTGTGATAGACCTTCTTGATACCAAGGCTACGTATTTCAATTCCCTCGTCGGAGTGATAGAACGACTTCTCACAGAAGTCTTGGCCTAGGAACGGCTCCAGTTCGGAGACGATCTCCATGAAAGTCGGACGTTCGCTGGGTCGCCATTTAAAGCACTTTTCCATGATCTTCTGTATGGTTTCAGGACAGTTCCGTGGTATATTCAGTACACCTTTGCGCAAGACATGATGCAACACCTCCTCGTTCGAGAAACCCTGATATGGTATCTCAGCGAGGGTGAGTATCTCATAGAGTACAACGCCGAATGACCACACGTCCGAATCAGATGTGAATACGCCGTCGGAAAGATTCTCCGGTGCCATCCAGCGTATCGGTAGCAGGCCCTTCTTGCCAATCTTGTAGTAATCGGTCTCGTAGATATCTCTGGCCATGCCAAAATCACCGATCTTGCAGACCAGGTCTTTGGACACCATGCAATTACGGGCGGCTAGGTCGCGGTGCACGAATTTCTTTGATTCGAGATAGGCCATACCATCGGCGATCTCCGCAGCCATTCTCATTATTCTGGATGCGTTTGGCACCATCTGGGTATCGCGTATTCTACGCAGATACGTTTTTAGATCGCCATTTTCCATGAGTTCCATGATGACGAATGGCGGATTGCCCATGGAGACTACACCTAGCAACTTAATGATGTGCCATGTCGAAAAATTCTTCATGACCGAGGCCTCGTTTAGGAACTCGTTCTTTTCCCGCTGACTGGCAGTCTCGGAGATCGTTTTGATAGCTACTTGCACAGTACCGTCCGGATGTACCAGATATCCTCGGTATACCATGCCAAAGTTACCTAGACCGAGATCCTCCAGGATCTCGACATTCTCCCTGGGTACTTCCCAGCTATCGACAACGTACTTGGTCTCGATATAATCTGGATTCACGCTAGCTATTAAACGTTCCTGCGTCTTCTTCTTCTGATGGTTTCTGGTAAGGAGCACTATCGTGGCTACAGCGGCGCCCAACACAATTACAGTTAACAACGTCGCCAGCATTATTCGGTTTTTGTTCGACACACCGATCGAGAAGTAAACCACATTGGTGAAAACGCCATCACCCGCCAGTGATGTAGAGCGTATTCTCAGACTATACCTACCCGGACTGAGATTTCTGATATAATGACTGATATACTTCTCTTTGTTGCCAATGTACGGTATGCACTCGGTGCTCTTCTTTGCATCCTTCACGTCCAAGTTTGTGTACTCGATGGTGTACGACACGGTGAATGCATTTGGATTTTTAACCGACTCCCAGATGACCTCTATCGTATCGTTAGTAACATGAATTTTCACGTTGTTAATGTTGTCAGCACTCTGTTGTCTCAACGTTCGAACGTTCATATACTGAATAGACGAGCACATTGGCGTGTCGTCCATCTTGACGCCACATGCGGCAATCGTGATAGTGTACAAAGAATAATGATACAAGTTCTTCAAGAGAAACGAAGTATTTTGTGCACTAACATTGTATATGAACATTTTATCATCCTGATGGCTGATAGTGACACTACTACCAGTATTGACCGAAATATCTGTCGCAGTTTTGTGTCTTTCCCGCGTCGACATGGAAAAATTATTCGTCAGATCGTAAAATTTACTCTTCGGTGAGTTGTAATTATTGAAGACGCAATTATCTTTCCAGCCAGGAGACAGATTGCTAATTGATATATTTTCATGGCAGAATATCTCGAACTGCTGGGAAGTCTTTGCATTCGCATCTTTGAAGCAACAGGAATTGGGATTCGAGATCAGTGACGTTTTAATCGTCACCTCGTGTATCTCTTCTTTCTTGGCTTCATTGATTAATGTATCGACGCAATAGTCTCGCGAGGCGACCAATTCTTCATCATCTAGTCGAATCATACTGGAGATCATGTAGTAACCTAAAGGACCGTTCGGATATATCGGCGGATCCCATTTTAGTAGAATTTCACTGTCGCTTATCGCGGTCGAGCTCACGTTCGTTGGTACCGAAGGTATCGCGCTTTTCGTCCAGAAAAAGATGATCTCCGACTGACCTACACGAGTGAAATTTGAGGAATTTTTCTTGTTCCTCGCCGTAAATGTTTTTACATAAGCGGCATACCTGGTATACGGCTTCAAGTTTGTGATATTCTTCGAAACAATCGAATTCCAACTTGGTATGCCGACGTCCACGATTTGCCAGGTGTTATTACCGCAGGCATTTGCCTCGTACGTTATGTTCCGATTCTCAGTTTCTATGTAATTTAGCAGGTAATTGAGGAGTTGTTGGCCCTCCGGCGGCTTATAACTATCCCAACTCAAAATCACGTGATCCGCATCCCGTTTTTTCACCGTAATGTTTATATTGGCGATGTTGCAGGCAACTTTATCACCGTTCGATTCTGGTTGAACCTCGAGATCCGTGAAGTTAGTGATGTTCACCATTTTACCGAAATCCGTTATTTTGGAAAGACAGAGCTTGGGATTGTAGTGAAAGAATAGTCTACCATTCTCTATCGTTATATTTTGAGGGAAAAGGGAGGAAAGATTTGGATTGTCCAGGACCACTAAACTTGCGTTATTAATGTCTAGATTTTCACCTTTAATCACTTTAAGCTTTTTGAAGAAGCTCAATGACGTGATCGGAAAAGAATGCGTTATCTTCAGGTAGTCGGTAATCTCCTCGACTAAACCGAATGCGTCTGCCAATTCGTTCATGATATTCGGATTACCGTTTCTAATTTGGAATTCCAGAGCACCCTTCACTACCGTTATACCACGAAAACTTTGAGCATCCGAAATGTGGCGTATGATAGCGCCGCCTGAGATTTTACGGCATTGTCCTTTGCAAACCTGACAGTGTGTTATCTGTAATGTAGAATAAAATAATTTAAAAAAATAAAATCAATAACGAGGATATGAACATATACATAACAATAAAATGCAAGAAGCGATCGTACATTATTCTCGTCGACGTAATCCTCGAAACCGTCGGGACATTGAGTGACACAGGAATTATTAAAAGGTCGCCATATCTGCGTGTCCTCCAGTTTAGAAACTTTTTTTTCATTTTTTTATTCATATCACGGCATTCAGTCTCGTTGACGCATCGTCTCGAGAGATATGAATATCTATGAACAAAAAGCCAGTAACAAAACGAGCTATCTTTCAAGTAACAAAAGATAGAATACAGCACATTTATTATTTGGCACTCTCTGTCATTAATACTAAACCGTAAGAGAACCGTTGACTATGATACATTTAAAATATAATTTGTAATTATAAAAGTTTGAGATATTTTATGTAAGGTATCTCGTTTGAAACTTAATATTTTGTTTAGTATTGTGTTTTTTTTTCAAAATACCTTTATTTTTGAGCATTAGATATTCCGGAAATTTTCAATTTTAATCAAATTTATTTTAAGCAATATTATATTTTTAATATCAAGATATTTAAAATTAAACATGCAAGAACTGGAAAAGTGGCAATCTTCTCAAACAAATATTTGCTAAAGAAAAAAGAACTTCAAGCTTCAAAAGAATTTATTAAAGACTCGATAATGAGAAGTTCAATAAGTCTCGCAGAATAATCTATAGAACTTCAATTAACCTTAAATATATTTTTAATTTTAAATTACGTAACTTATTCATATTATATTTATATGGATAAAAAAGAAGTATGGATAAAAAAAAGAGTATAAAAAAAAATCTAAATTCTTTTTTTTCTGTTATATGTATTTTCATAAAAGGTACTTACAAGTTGGACGGACAGCTTTCAATACATCTTTCCTTGTGCCGATAATGCTTGCATACGTAACACTCGCTATCGCTCAGACCATAACACTCCCCGAGACATTGCTCATGGCATGTTGGTTTCTCCAGTTTTTGGCAACGTTGAGCAGTCCAGCAATAACCACTAGGGCACTGAGGACATCCTGTGAAATATTATTTTTAAAGGAGCATTATTTCCTATGTCATAAAAATCTTCATAATTCTCTAATAAGTATTATTTAAATTGCTTAAAATCTTTATTACATATTATATATAAAATTAAGATTTGTTTCTGTCACCTTTCACGTGTGGACAACTCTGTTCATTCCTATTGTCCTTGATGAAGTTCTCGCCGGCCGAGACGATGGCGTTCCAATTCACGGTATTTGTGAAGCAAAGGGCGGGATTCTTCTCGATGCGTACGCCACCCCGGGAGATCTGTGTCAGGCTGGTGAGGCCGATCTACGAAAAAGTTTCGCAGGATTAGTTCTGGAATTATGAGTCAAAGGTCGAATGGCCAGTTAATTTGATTGACTGATTAATATATCACTTGACCCAAGTATTTGATCGGGTCCTAGGCAACAGACTGGGTCATATACCTTCGAATCAAGACTCGACTCGATTCAGCGTGGGAATCAACGATTGCGATATGAATTGTACGTGACGAACGTCATGTGCGTGCACGAATAAAAATCCTTTTCAGCATGTTGTTTCGTATCACTCACGCAATAAATGAAAGTTTGTATACGCATACCTACAACGTCGTTTCTTTATTAACGTTGGAATTTAACGAATTGAGCATCGCTCAGCAACACTCTTGATTTTCCTATTAGAGCTTTCATAATTTCCTTTTGATAAAATCTATTCTAAGCCTATATCTTCACCACTTAGATGAAAGTTAATGTTTTTAAGATAACGCCTTCGTTAAAATTATCGCGGATTAGTTAAGACCCAATTAAAATACCGCTCTGGATAATTTTATTATTAGAGAAAATAGAGCGCAAATAAGATAAGAGCCATAAGTTGAGAAATAAGAAGTTAAAACGGCAAGTAGAGCAGAACAGCTTGTGTGAGACTCGAGCGAATCTTACCTCCTGCAAATTCTTCATCTCGTAAATCATGAAGGCGTAGTCCGTGAGAAGTATATTGCCTCTGATGACCTCGAGATTTGGGAAGAGTTTGTTGAGGCTCTTGAGACCGTCCACGCGATACAGAAGAAAATAGCCAGTGATTTCTCTCAACAAGGGGAAGCTGATATTCTCAAAATCTGCCTCGGTGTTGTTCTCAATCAGCACGATTTGCAGGAAGCCTTCGATCACGTGGCACTTTTTCAAGGGCGAGAAGAAGACAACGCTGTTTCTGATATCTATATTCCCACAGATAGTCTCGTCCTCGGTAGTCGTATTCTTGAATTCTTGTCCTTTCTCTCGTCCTACCTCCTCGCTCGATTTCATATGCGACTTAGGTAGATTCGACAATTGACTAGACTGCTGATTACTCTTCGGCTCGACATCCGTAGATCTGGAATGATTAGGTGCGTTTCATTAACTTGTTTCATCCACAGTTTGGACATCGATGGAATTCTTTCGGAAACAAGAGCCAGCTCTTCTCTTCTTGGAGTATAAAAAGATTTCAACAAAAATTTATCGATCTCGTTCAATTTTTCTTTTTCTCATGGTATTTTGTACGCCTATTAATAAGCTAATACAATCACTTTAGTACAATCGAATAAAACATACATACAGAAATTTAGTGCTCTTTCGTTGCTAATTTGTTGCTCAATTCCCAATTTAGGTTACTCCAAATCCGATTCGGAGAAAATAATAGCTGTGCTAAATTAAGGATAAAATATTTCATGAATTTTCGATAGAGCGAGCAAAAATAAAATACATGTTCCCCGAAATGATCGTCCAGAAATAAATCTTTTTCTGTAATTTTAGTGAAGTTATAAGTTTACTTTGATTCGATTTGCAAATTTTATTTAATAACAGTAAAATGCACTTTATTTCAAGTTGCCATTTTTAACATTCAAGTACCTCATTCAGAAAAGATCGAAATAGATTCCGCAGGTTTAAAAAGGCCCCCACTTGCACTTAAACGATACTCTTTGTGTCCGCTACCATGAATTATTCGTTCGACGGGATAAAATCAGCGAGGCATTTAAAAGCCGCTAATAACTCTAAGAAGATCAAAGGGAATTTCAACAGCGACGGCGCGCAATTCCGAAGCAGCAATATTGGTGATAACCAATTTGAAAGGATTAATTGGCGAAAATAAAATCGCTTATATTCACACGAAACGACGGGAGCGCGAAACAGCTACAATCCACTAGTTGAAACATTTTGAGGAGGCAGGATCAGCAATTTTCGCACACGTGGGCTCTTTCCGCGTTTCGAAAATTTGCGAACGGATATCACGTACCTCTCCAATTACGAAAGAATTTGCTGATATACTGGATGAACGCGCGCAAAAGTTCGGTTTACATAAAGGATCAGGTACTTCGTTCATAAGTAAAATGGTTTATTCAATCGATCTCTCGATAAACCTCCCTGCTTTTTAAGACTTCCTTCAATACTCCTTAGATACACATTATACATTTACAAGGATCATATATATATATATATATATATATATATATATATATATAGGAATACTAAATAATTAGTGACACGTTCATTAATTACTTAATACCCCAAATTTACAATAATATCCAATCTGGTGTTGCGATATATATATATATATACTTACAGGAATGTCAAAAATATCAATAGAAATCTATCAAAATTCATATACTCTCTTGGAATTTTTCAGTGACATACCTGGTGTCATCGATCGCTCTGTGGTTTCTGTAAGCGGCTTGGGCGTCCAGATATCCAGACTCGTAAGAGCCGGTGGCCGCTGAGCCTCGACCATAGTCAAACTCCGCGGAGTCCTCCTCTGTCATCCTGTCCGCGTAATCGGGATCGTACTTGCCCTTGGCGCTTTTATCCCGGTGCTTCGTGGTCGCTTTTGGCCACCTTTTCTCCTGGCAGAGCGCCAGGCCCACCACCGTGACGCACAAGAGAATGATCGGCAGCAGCAACTTCCTCGTCCTCATCTCCTTGTCTCATTGAACACCGCGCTTGAAAGCCTCCCGTTAAACGTTCCCGATCTTACCCCCACGTGCCGCCCCGACCACCACTTTCGTTTTCTCTGATTGATCGACGATTGATAGCCGACCCTGCGAGCTCGTCCCTACTCTCTCTCCAACTCCGTTTTCCTTTCCCGCCCCACCTTGAATCACGTCCGATTGTTTGACTTTTTCTTGGACTCGAAGTAATTAGGGGACTGTAAAACGGACAATAGTTCTCTGTTCAGTTTAACGGGAAAACGTCAATCGAAACTGTACGCGATCCTCTGTCTAGCTATCATTTTATATATAATTAAAAAAAAGAAAAAAGAAAAGAAGAAAAAAGAAGTATCAAACTAGAATAACAGTCGTTTATTACGTTCATAGTTGTACAGTGCGAAAAGAAATGGAAAAAGAGAACTATAATAACGTTTGCGAATTCTACAGTAATTGACCCTTTTAACCCGCGAGTCCTACGTTGGAATTAAATGCTTAAGCAATTCATGAAGTGTCAAAAGGAATGTGCAGCGCTATTTCTCTACTTTCCAATTTCCAAGGTTAATAATGAAATATTATTCCCTGAGTAAGAGCGTATATACGTAAAAAGAAAACATTTTCTTTTCTGTCTGAAATTATTCTGCGTTACGTACAGAACTCATTAAAATTGTAACTCATTAAAATTGTCAAAATGCTATCTTCGTTAACCCAAGAGAACGTGAAATCCGGTTAGAATTTATATCCCGCTCTATTTTAAATGAGGATCACTCATACAACACAATTCTCCTTCCGTACCTGCGGATTAAAAACGACGCTGCTCCCTCGCGAGAAAAACACTCTGGGTTATTCCGCGTTCTTGTTCTCTTCCTCTTCCTCCTTCGCCACCTCCCTGGAGGAGGTAATCGATCGATCGTCCGCGTTCGTCCAAGCTCGCGTGAACCCTCTCCGATTCTCCCTCCCCCGTGCGGGCTCCGGGTAACCCGGTTTCAAACTCGCGGGGGGGGATGTTTCCTCTTCCGGGAGGGATCAGAAGTGTTGAGGTCGCGCGAGGTCTTCCTTTTGCAAGGATTGCGCACAACGAAAAGACTGACCGCGACTTACGCCTTGAAATATCTTCAGAGTACCTTCTTATTGAAAACGAAGTACATTTTGGCCTTCATAATTGCGCCGTCGTCGCACGCCGTAATTATCTGTCAAACAAAAGTCAAAACGTTTAGTAAGAAGCAATTTCAATGCCTAAGCAATTCATAAAGTGTCAGAAGGAATGTGCAGCGCTATTTCTCCACATTCCAATTTCCATTTAATAATGAAATATCCCTAGAGTAAGAGCGCATACGTAAAAAGAAAACATTTTCTTTTCTATCTGAAATTATTTTGCGTGAGTAAAGAATCGAAAAAAAAAAAAAAATGTAATTCAAATTAATCGTTACCTCCGGTAAATACGGTAATATTATTTATATTAGAAATAAACAAAAGCTTACAGGAAAAGAACAGTTTTGCTGAAGCATTTAAAAATTTGATCAAATACAGATTTGAAGATAATTTTGTTGAACCATCAAAATTATTATATAGGACACTCAAATTGCTAGAATATCAAAAATTTTTGCAGTATTAACATCGCGCCTAAACATCTTACATAATAATAATAATAATAATAATAATAATAATAATAATAATTTGATGATAAACAAATTACTTTAAATCTGTATCTGGTCGAATTTTTAAATACTTACAGCAAAATTGTTCTTTTCGCGTATATAAAATTTACTTTGCTATTTCAAACATCGCGAACACGTATCGTATATATGTCTCTGTGCCTTCCGAGCAAATATATTTAAGCAAGTGAAGATAAAAGATATATGTACAAACTGTGTTATATACGTAGATTACGCACGCACGCGTACACACATGTACAGTAATTAATTAGGTACATTTGTACATAGGTGTAGAAGGATGTTAACATACCGCTAATTAAGGTTACAAATAAAATGTGACGACGAGTTACTAAACTAATTCGACTAAATTAATACGTACGACGTGACATGCCCGAATATCCTTCTTCCTGCTACTTACAACTAATTCTTAATATTAATAAATTAAGAGAATAATATTTATCACTACCAAAAATAATAAAATAAAAAAAAAAAAAAAAAAGTAGAAGATAATTTAATCGAAACATAAAAAACGCAAATTTGCGTGTAAATATTCAATGTTGAGAAAAATAAAAATAACGTGATTAAATTGAGAAAAATATCAAGTCCAACATGACATAATTAATTATAACTAATTACAATAGTTTAAAGCGCCGTTAGCGACCGGTTTTAATGAAAATATCGCGGCTGAAATTGCTAGTGACATGCAGCCATTATAGAAATGCATTACATCGAAAATGACGTTGAAATTATGCATGTTATTTTACTCCAAACGTACGTTAATAATAAATTCTGGGCTTTCGTCTGTTATCTCGTCTGTAATAACTTTCATTGTGCTTCTGTGTCCTTTATACGTATCCTTTATATGCGTACATAATGTAATTATCATATTTCACGTCTGCGAAGTGACTACGCATGGTGTTTCAAGCGGAATCTCATTAATTCAGACGTGATATGCACATGTTACGATATTTAAATAAGGATAAATTTATAATCAATCAATTATCACAATCTTTATCAGTTTTAATGCGTCGGACGTGTGCGATCCTATCATAACTTTTATCCAAAAAAGTTAAGAAAGCAATCCAATTTTGATTTTTCGCAAAAGCCAAGTCTGGCACGCAACTGCAACTATTTCCACAACTATTTTCCTGCGCGACATGTTGCAATATGTATAAATACTTGCAGTATTTTATCACGCTTCGATCGTACCTTTATCTCAAAGTTCCGTATAATTACAGGTAAATCAAGTCAAGAATGCTCGCTAATTAAAGATAAGCAAACTTACTTAGCGATGCTGCATTCAAGATTTAATTATCGAGTAGATCGCGCTAACAAAAAAGCAATAAGTAATTAACCAGGAAATTTCGATTTATTCCATTCTGCGTGAAGTACTGTTTCCTATTCTATTATGCTTCTACTCCGCGTAAAGTACAATTTTGAACTAAGTAACTTTGCACAAAGTAAAATATAATTTTGAGTCTCACATAATGCCTAGGCTCTTTGACAAATTGAGAGCTTAAGTTTTATTAGACTAATTTGCATACAAAGTGATTCTAAAACACGTCGATAAAGGCAAGACGTGCTCCTTGACAAGTTCGAAGTCGATCTTTCCTTAGCGTTCCTAGCTACCCCTTCTTCGCGATCTTTTGATTCCTCTTTATTTGTGAATAAAACACAAATCGTACACGATTCAAAGTCAAATTTCATTTTATATCGGATTTTTACTTAAAAAATAAACCGAAGAATAAGGGCTTCGTTATATATTCCCGTGCTTAAAATTTAACTCACGAAAAATTTATTTTCTACTTCGTCTAAAATAACGATAAGGATCATTTACCTTAACGATATTAGGAAAAAGTCGACTCCAGGTAGAACGCGGTACGATTAACGCAGAATTAAACGGTTTGATTTCGAATCAGCCGTAGCCTCCGAGACCTCGAGTGTAATTTGTTTCTTTCATTAATCCCCCTCGACCCTCCACTCTCTCTCATCCACCTTTCGTTTTTCTACTCGACCTCGTTGCCCCGACAATCCCTACGAGATACCTACACCTCCCATTTCGAATTACGACGTCAGCAACGAGGAAAATTTCGTTCGAATAATTCCTGGAACTTAACGTTCGAACGTACGAATGACCGACCGTTCGTCGAAGAGGAATTTTTTTTCTTCGCAAGGCGAGGCCTCATAAGAAGCGCGCAAACTCCGACGCGTTGGTAATCACTTCGCACTAACCTACGGCAGAAATATGTAGAAATTGCAGTTACAACGTCGCGCCTCAGATAACGGCAGTCACGACGCTATCATATTTCGTCGTTCTGTCGCATTTTATAAGTCCGCTTTTATGAAACCAGAGTGATTCTCTCCGCTCGAGGAGGAAGTTATTCGTGTGAACGTTGCGAGAATCGTAAGTAATATTCGCGCGTTCCTCTTCGTCGTCGTTTCCGCTGTCGGATGGAAATCAAGACACAATGGTCGTCTGCGGTTTCTCGAAAATTGTCAGCAATCGCGCGACGTTCTTCTCTTACTCGCAAACTTCCAATTTGCGAGATTACAATATACCGCGGTTTATCTGCGAGCTAATTGGTTTCCATAATGCTTTCCCGAATGTCGAATGAATTTCAACGAATAAAGAGCCAAGAACAAAAGTAAGTCTAAGGAAGAACGAAAGCTTTAATTAGAAATACGAAGGTTCTTACACGATAAACATTCATAGATTACGTTATAATCTTCTAATGAGAGAGAGAGCTGCATTTAATTTAATTTGAAATTAAAATTGTCGAGCAATATCCCGCCACGATGTCGAGAACACGGAGAGATCGGCTTAGAAATTATTCCGAATTTCGAAGAGGGGGAGGGGGGGCTTCAACAGCTGTTCTCATTATTCACGGCGTGACAACATGCAATGGCACAATATTGCATTTTGAGGGGCGCTCGCTTTATCCGAGTTTCGAAAATGGGGTTTCATTGACAAGGGGAGAGCGATCTCGTGCAGGCGAGATATCGCGGAAATGATCATCGCGGATCGCGCCGTGTGGCTCTGACGTTTGTAATCCAGCATTTGAGTGGATAGGTAGGTAAGTAGATAGGGGGTTAGGACGAACAAGAATCCCTTTAAACGCGAAGATTCCTGTTTAAATCTCCACCTCACCCGCGCCTATCTAGGAGATAACTGTGTCGTTGACCATTTAGCTGCTCGCGCGACTCGGGCGAATATCTTAATTCGCCATATAAATATCGCGATAACGATCGCAAGGAAAAGAGAAGAAAAGAGACGAGAGAGTAGGAGGAGAGGGGAAGCCTCGTTGTGGCGGCGGCGGCGGCGGCGGCGGCGGCGGTGGCGGCGGCGGCGGCGGCGGTGTCGATTAAAAGCCGGATACACGTACGATAAAACACGAGAACTTGTTCCGCGATAAGCCCGCACCTGAGAAGCGGAAGAATATATGTCCGTAAACTTATTCTTTCGGGGGGAGAAGGGAGTATATGGGGAAGGGAGAAAGGAGGGAGGGAGGGAGAGAGAGGGAGAGAGAGAGAGAGAGGAGGAGAGAGAGAGAGGAGGAGGAGAGAGAGAGAG